ACAACGACAACGACAACGACAACGACAACGGCGGGTTTTTGGATCCAATTTCCATTCGTTCCAAGTTAGAAGGAGCCCTCCTGTCGGGTGACAAACTTACTCCGAAGCACCGAGGATACTCCTATTGCCCATCCTCCAGTTCTTGCCAGACGGCTTCGGGCTGCGGTTACACCGCTCCAACCAATTTCAACCGAGACGACTTGGCAGCCACCGGCTTTGTCCCAGCAAGTGGCTTGAACGAAGATCAGGGGTAGTGAATGAAGGTTCAAGATGAATGGGGAGCTGTGTTTCTTTTGCATGCGCAGCCCTATGTTTAAAACCCAAAGCAAAGTCTGTCTCTACGTGGAATTGATCTTGAGTCGAGCCGTTTAGTGCTGATTCCACTGCATTTTACATCAGTTGCAATAGGACGTATCATGATACATCCCTGTGTCGGATGTGTCGACGTATTTTGCTTGGCAACTTTGATTTTCAAGAACGGGAACCATTCGGGCGGTCTTCCTAGAGTAACACATGAAGAATGATGAAGACACGTGCGAGTTCGTGACGAGTTCGTGCAGGTTCCCTGCTTCTTTACGCCGCAGGTATCTTTGTTTGTTTCACGTGCGTCCGACGCGGTGCGTGTCGGACCGTCTTGGACCCCCATCAGGCTATACCTCTCCTTTGAAGGTCACCTTCACCACCATCAGTGGAGCAGGCATCGACACCGATCCGGTGAGCGGCATTTGCCCTCCCACCACAGCCGCGCAGGCGTCGCTGGTGGATACGCTCCTCGGACGGACGGACCGTGGGGCGTCCGGTCCGTGTACGTTTGCTGTCACAGTAGACCATTCTGCGTTCCATTCGCTGGGTTTGTTCTTCCCTTGAACAGTTTGGTTGTAGTTAATGGTACGTCCGGTGTGCCTTCCACCCTTAGACATTGTGGAGCGGAACAGACGGCTGCAACGAAGGAATCATCCATGACTTTGCGGCTTGCCATGGTTCCTGAGAATTTATGTTCAATTTGCAGCGGACATATATAACGATGGTGTTGGCGCGTTGGCTTGGTGTTCTTTTGCATCCTCCACCTGCCTGGGAACTGTCAGCTGGCGCCATCGATGTTTGTAAAGCCGAGGTTCAACAAGACGTGGGCCGTGACGCCCGACCTCTTCCTCGTGCTCACGGAGCAGGATCGATGGGTCCGGACGGTCCGACCCCTCTTTTCTGCCGAGCAAGAGTGTTTGTTTTGGGACCAGCGAACGAACCACACGCACAGAACAATTCACACAGCAGGGCGTTGGGTGGGTGCCCATTTTTTAGGAGCCATGCGATACATGGATATACATGGGGGAAAGTTTGTGGTTGATGTATCAAGACATGTAACTGGATGTGATCAACATTGATCAACCCCAGCAGCAGGCTTGTATTTTTTTGCAATTTGTAATGGTGTAATTGTCAACCATCAATATGACCCTAGTAGCTTCTTATGGCCTCCAACCTACTTGCGATGACCTCCACCTAATAGCGTCCTTGCTCCTATTAGCGATGGCCTCCAACCAATGAGGAGTCCACTCCGGCATTTTGTAGACCCGCAGTGCGACGTCTCGCCGCCGTCACCCTTTCTTCTTGCACGACTTCGTCCAGCGAGTACGAAGTCGGTTTTCTTTTGGGCTTTCGCGGCTTCGCTTTGAGGCCGTGCTCAGATCTGGGTCCAATTGTGACCGGGATACAACAACGACCTGCTCTAGCAGCTCCAGCTGTGCTCTTGTCTGCATTCTGTTTTGGACCCAGTTGACTTCGGCCGTTCAGTGAAGAGCCCTTCAGTGATGGCCTCGAAATGTCGGTCCGTTTTGGCTGACTTTTGTGAGTTTTGATTTTTGATCTAAAAGATTACATATAGGTACAACATGTGATATAAAGATCCTGAAGCCATTGAACAAACTCAGGCTGGATTGAGCATAGTACATGCGAGAGTGGATCATGCAAGTGTGATTCCGGCTATTGCTGCTTGTCTCCAAACTCGATGCTGCTTGTGTGAGATTCGCTTTATAAATGCTATTGACCGCTATTGGCTCGTAGTTTAAGATCTGAGCTGCGTAGAGTTGCAAGAACAGTTGCCGTGTAGAGATGCAAGCAGCAGCATCATTCATCTTCACATTGATCGTGTAGTGCCTCAACGCCTGAGAGTCGAAGACGCTAGAGATTTCGACGAACCTCCCTCCCTCCCCCTCCTTCCCTCCCTCCCTCCCTCCCTCCCTCCCAAGGCTTCAACGGACAAACATGTGCTGCCACTGCCATTGGTGCCTCGTCACCTGTGGCAGTGTGGTGCCCGCTTGTGATGGCCGTCATCACGTTCTTTGCACTACGAGGCTGAGCTTTTTCAAGAGGCAGGTCCTCTTGAGACGCTGTTTTGGCATTAAAGCCTAACATAGAATCATATCATGTCATATCATGTCGTACATATCTTGCAAGACAAGAAGACACACATGATTCTTAGATACGATGCCCTCGTTGGTCATCTATGGGAGTGTTTCGATGGGGCATCACCCTCGTGGCACGGCTGCCAAGATTTTGCAGCGTCACATTTCACCGGACCTGTTGTTTGGTCTTCCATACTATACATACATGTTCCCAGAGTCGAAAGTCTCGATGCAGACTGATGCGGCTGAAACTGTTTGAAGAGTTTGGGAACCCAAGCCTTTGTTGATGAATTTCAGACAGTTGTATTCTTTTTACGTTTCCGAGTTGTGCTTTTAGTTATTTTGTCGTTTACCCGAATCGTTTTACATAGAATTTATAACTTTCAATGTATTGTCAAAGTCAAGGCTTGACGGGGCTAGTTCTGCATTAATGGTTGCTTGCCGTTGTGCCATGGGGCTCCTTAGTGCTTCCATACTTTGCCTGCGAGCAGCTGGGGTGAAAGCTCAATTGGTCTCAAGACCAGGAAAAGGTGGGAATGGACTCAGCACATTGTCACAGCCTTCGGTGTTTTTCAATTTGTTAAAAAGCTGGTTTCACACAGACACAGACACTATTCTCAAGAGCTTTCGTCACTTCCAGCGAAGAATGTAGTGGAGATCACTCTACTGCAACTCTATAGACGCAGGGTGTGGGATGCAAGCAGCTTAAGAGCCAGAATATGTCACATGTACTATGCATGGAGTTTCCTTTCAATCGCGCACTCTTTGGAAAAATGACAGGGTCGAAATGATAGAGGTGCAGCTCAGCTTCTTCTTGCTCGACACATGATTTGTTTGCACCAAAAATTGCTTTGAAAGGCCTGGTTGAACATTAGTAGCAGTTGTTCTATGAACAGGTGATTGCGTATTTGCCAGCAAAGTAGCAAATGGTGGTAGGTGAAGAAGAATTTCTGTTGGGATTGCGAGCAAAGGCTGAAGTGACTCGCTGGCACTAGAGTCATGCAGAGCTCCTCCCAGCTTTGTGAATAGCTGGAAGGGGAGAACGAGCTTCGCAGATATCGTTGACCCGTGTTGCAAATCAGTTGCTTTTGACCCGTTTCAGCACCACACATCAGCGCACGGCATGAATCATGAACGCTAAATCGATGTCAGCCATTCGCGACGTAGTAGACCGATGAGCCAACGCAATAGATGCTTTTATTTTTGCTTACGGGACAACAAAAAGCTGCTCATATGCGGGTTGTTGATCCGCTGATCCATTGTTCCACCCGAACTTAGTTTTTTCAATGCAAGACAGCAACTCAACTGGCCAATTTCACCTGGATGAACATAGCAGCGATGCGCACGAGTGAAACACACTCTGCGTGGGGGGCCCCCCGCGGCCTCGGAGCGAATCTCGGCGTGCGAGGGGCGGAGCGTCCGGTTCTGATCGACGTGATCATTTTTTGTCCAACTTGTTTAGCAGAGGGTCGAAACGAAGAACGCAATCAATAGGTGAAGAACCCATGTTGCTTGCCACCGGTTCTTTTTTTCCTGATGCGTTTCTAGATTCAGATGACTTGCGGTTGGAGAGATTGGCAAACTACTGAAGCACATTTGATCAAACTGGCCTTGACTGTTCGCATCAGGAACAAAGGGATGACCGCGTGCCTGGATGACGTTGAGGCCTTTGAAGGTTTTCTAAGAATTTGACATGAGGATGTTGAGAATTGCAAGGGGCAAGTGGAATCAAGCGAGAATGCTTACATAACCAAGCTTGTGACATCCTTCAATCTTCCATAAATTGGTGTGCTGCTAAGACGAGATTCACTTGTATTGATGACCCCATCGAAGCAGAAGTGGAACTTCTTTTTGATGCGTTTGCCGCTGCCTCCCAGCATCAAATGCACGGCCATCAGCGAGTCGAATCAGCAAGAACCAGGTGCTGCAGCCTGGGTGTTGACGGTCTCCCAGTTTGCCGGCCAGTCTCCCGACTCACACGCTTGCCGACCTCGCTGTTGGAGGACTCCTCCTCGCTGTTGTGCGCTGGCTTCTCTGCGAAACACGAGTTTCGTTTCGAAACACACGGGCGGAGGCCCGTGGCTTTGGGATCATGGGAATTGGCTTGCGTGTGGTGTGGCGTGGCGTTGATGTATGTACATACTGGATGTTGTATCATTTTCAAGTGGTGTTGTGGCAGAGAAACATTTCAGAGATGCCCAAACCTCAACTGTCATGCTTCTGGTCTTTTCCTCAAATGTGGGAAGTACTTCGTTTTGAGATACGTTACAGCCACAGGATGGTTTTCAACACGGGCCATAGTGCTTGGGATTTGGATCTCTCATGCTCTAATCATTTTGCTTTGCTGCCTGTTTGGCTTGGTTTTTTGGTCTTCTCCTCTAGTGTCTTGTAGTGGTTTTCTGCATTCCTTGGCTTCTGGATTTACTGCTCACTCTTAGTGCAGCTGCTTCGCAGTACCCCATGGGTGTAGTTTCTGACCCAACTGGCATGTCCGACACAAAGTGTTCTTCGACGGACTCAAGTGAGCCAGGAATCGATTTGGAGATCGATTCAGAGGGTGAAAGCCAGAGAGCATCGACCCAGAAGATGTCAAGGCCCTCAGAAGCCTCAGAAGTTCTTCGCGCGTCCAACAGCCAAGCGAGAGATGTCCGGCTGACGTCAAAGGAGCTGGATGATTGCCGAGTCTTGAGTGTGAAGAGTTTACAAGTTCTATTCTTGGTTGTAAAGCGGCTTACTGTCATTAAAATTGTGTGTTTTGCTTGCGCATATGGTTTGTCCCCAGTCAACGGCACGTGTTTGACCGAGGAAGAGACATGCTCGAGGATGGTTGCGAGGTGTTGGCCCAGGAGCAGGCAAGACAAGCTCGCTTGGAGCTTCGTTCGCCCCAAGAGGTATTCTTTCCAAGAGAGGGCCACTTGCTCGCTTTGGGAGCCCCTCCATGCCTGACATTTTGTGGGGATGAAGAGAAGCTTGGATGCAAAACTTTCAATGTCCTTTATCTCCTAGGCCACCGGCACTGTTTTAACTTAGCAGGTTGCATTGTACCTCGAAGTCAGAAATTCAATCGTGAGATGAACGGTTCTCATTTTTGCGATTCTGGTGCAAGGAATGATCTTGCGGCATCAGCTGCCCGTGAGGCTTCGGAAGACACCCAAGTGCATGTGGCAGGCTTGGAGGAAGACGCTCGACTGCGGACGGGCGCCTTGGAGGACGACATACAAATGCACTTGATAGTTGCCTTGGAGGAAGACGCTCGCGTGCTTGTGACAGGTGCCTTCTTCGGGAAGGCCCAGTCCTGTGCACCGGCCAAAGTTCCATGAAGTCTAAGACAGTTAGCAGGACATGCTCTTAGCAGTTTGTGAGATGTCTTGTTTTGGGCTCTTTCTTGAAGCTGCCAATTTCATTTCTGGAATAGCTAGATGGACTTAGATGGATGAATGTCCAGACCCACCCATCAGCCATCACTTCTTTCAGCAAGAATAGCCAGATGGATGTCCGGATCCGTCCTCAAGTTGGGGAGTAGAGGCTCTTTGGGCATGTCATGCCACTTGGAGTTCTTCAACCTTCAGTGACGCGTCTGACTGTGCGTTAAAGGGCTGTGCTGTCGGATCTTATCCCACGGCGCAGCTCGTTGCGCCGTGTCTCGTGTCCTGCGTTTGTACAGTCATTCAGCCTCTTCTGCATGAATCTGCGAGTTTTCAACTTACAGATTGCCAGTCATTAGAGGCGACTCCTTATCTGATCAATTTTGGGGTGCACCTTTGGAAGAGCTTGTAGGATCTTATCCCACAGGTTTTTCAGTTTGCGCCCTTTGGAATCACTTGTGAGATGAACTGTTATCCCACAAGTCTTGCTCTTAATTCTGCAGCAGTTTTGATGTGCAAAAACGGATCATTTGCATCCGACGAAGCGATGCAACAGCTGCCAAGGTTCAGAGTTAGAGTCTGGGTCAGTGCGGCTTGAGGTCTTGAGGTTCCGAAGAAATGTCTGAAGCAATCGCTGTGATTGACCAGGAAGTTGTTCAAGACTTGTCATGTCCCGACAGGTGTGGAGAGCCTAGAAGAGCCTGAACCCCACGCTTGAGGCCCAGATGAAAGGCAAAAACATTGACAAGCGTTTGGCACTGCCAAGGATTTTCCTTTCTTCGTGCCGCTAGATCAATCAGAACACATCGGTCGGCTTTCGGTGCATTTGAAGGAGTTTCGGAGTTTAGTGTATAGTTTATGATGGTTTTCTTTGCCACCCCGCCTTCCTTTTTTCGTTGCCATCGAATACTTACCCAGTGGAATCCCTTTTCGAACGGTCATTGACTCGTGTCTGAAAGACAGAGCTCCGAGGCCTCTGGCGTCAAGGCTGGGGGCCAAGGCTGGGGGAAATCTGACATTCATTTGCGCTTGAAGAGATTTGAACTACGCCGAAAAAGCTTTCCTTTCGAATCACTTCAGCATTGTGAAGAGCTGGACGCAGGGCTCTAAAAACACTGGAAGTTGGTGTGCAATTGGCGCGAGCAGCAGGAGGCTCTTGGCTGGGACCTTCACTTGGAATGCCGCATGTGTGAAATGCACTGTCTCTGCCAGTGCACACAGAGTTGGCGATGCTAGGTCAAGGTGGGTTTAGCAGACCCCATTTTTCAGAGTTGGAGGGAGCCTTTTTGTTTGTTGATCATACAAATAGCATGATGCAGGCGTATCGTGAAAACATGTGTGCAAAAGGAATGCAGCAGGTGGCTCAGAGTCTGGGAGAAACGTTGCTTGTTACTCTTGACTCCTGTGGGACGAAGAGTCTTGTCGGGCAAATGAAGCCGCGGAGAGCTTTTCGGTCTTGTTCCTGAAAGCAACTCTTGCCAGCTTCCATCGCTTCGGCGTCGTTCACTGATGTCATGTCCTCCGTCAAGCCGGACCTGAGGCCTGAGGCCGTTTCTACATTTGTCCAGATTATTCTAACTGTGAAACACCTCAAGGCAGGGCATTTTATTGAGTTTTGTGAGATTTGAGGCATGTTGTACCTAGCTAGCTTCTTGTCCAGCTTTACCCATGGCGGTAGGGAGCAGGGCTAAAGGCAACGTTCTGGAGAGATAGCGGTATGTTAACTCTTGCATTGGGCGCAGTGTGCGCTCACAAGTTTTGTTGCATTTTATTGGAAGACTTTGACACACCTTGCTTTCCAAATTGTCACGTGTTTGGCGAGTGCCTCAGCGCTGGCTCCAAGTCTTCAATCTGAGAGATGCCGCTCCCTTCGCCACAAGGCATGGTCAACCTCTCAATTGACTGGCGCTGGACAGTTTTTATGGGAACCTTGAACCAGAACAAAAACAAACAGTAAACCAGTGGTACCCGTGATTCGCAATCCGCAGGTGCACCTGTTGTGGTCCTCCTGGGCCCGGTCGGTGTGGGCAAAAGCCTGCTGGCGACCGCCTTGGCTGGGCTTCCCCCGAGCAATCGCATCTTCAAAGTGGGCGATTCTGCGCAAGCTGTGACTTTGGAGGCCGTCTGCCACCGCTGCAGGCGGGCAATCTGGAAGTTTCTGGTGTCGTGAAAGTGAAAGAAAAAAGAGTTTATTGTTGGAATGTTTTGCTTAATTCTAATTGCACTCTTTGAGGTATGTTCAAAGTCTACGTTGTAAAATCCCGCCAGTTGGACCGATCGAATTGCCCGGTCTTTGGTCAGGTGGTTCGGGCGTGCCTCTGAAGAGGAGTTGGTTTTGGTGGATCCGCCGGGGGTCGGAGATGGAGAGAAAGACACCACGCGCTTGGCGCAAGTGGTTCGCCTTCTTCGCGACCTTGGTGCCTGGGCATATAAATCACGCGGCTTTTGAGTTCTGGATTTCGTTGAGCTTTCTCGGATAGTTCACAGTGAACAGTGAGTTGAACGTTTTACTAGGAAGTCCTGCCAAGACACAGCTTGGGACAGGGGTGTGGCAAGTTGCAGCTTCTATATAGCTTCAACTTTCCATTATGTTCCCCGCACATCCGCGTTGTTTGGGAGATGCACGCGTTTTTGCAAACGACATGTCAGCATCTCATTCAATGTTTGTTTCTGTCGGCTCCTTGAGCCCAGGTTCTGTGAGCTTGTTTGTTGTGGTGCTGAATTCGGAGCAGCCTCGCATCGGCAGCGTGCTGGAGAACTTGCTTCGGCTCATGGAAGAGTGTTTTGGCCGCCGCTTTTGGCGGCACGTGGCCCTGGTTTTCACGCGCTACTACACGGATGCTCGCTCCGCCCGCCGGCGTGGCAGCAAGACCAAGGACATGCTCCGAGATGAGTTTTCCATGGCGCTGGCGACGCAATTCCCCCATTCTCAGCAGGAGAGAACTTTAGCTGCAGATCCATTTCCCAGCCCCTTGATGCAGAGCTATTTGCATTGTTCTGCTGACCACTAGTTTGGGGACTGTTTGCCCCACCACCAACTTTTTATAAGAGTGTTTTAGTTCTAGGGGAACATCTCGGCCACGAGTGGGATTTGTAGTGGAATTGTTTAATGCAGTTTATGAGTTGGCAGTTGCTCAGTTCTTCCACTTCTTGCTTTTGTCTATACCCCCCCCATAGCCTTGTAGAACTTGTCCGGCGATTGCTCCAAGGCTACTTCGTGGATTCAGAGGCCGCGATCAACAATGAACTCCCCGAAGCAGAGCGGGCGGCAGCGCTCATGGAGTTAGAACGGCTGTCGGTCTTTGCGCGTGCCTCGCCGTGTTTGCCAACCGGCACGGATGACAACACATCCGTTGGCTCGTCCACAGCCAGAGGAAGAGAGCCTGACACGGAGCAGGAGTGCTCCGAAGATCACTTTGCCACTGGATCATGGGTTGAAATTCATGGCTTGGTTGGCACCCCATCTCTCAATGGTGCCTTGCAATGAATTTCAATAAGGTGGTGCAACTAGCAAGACACACATACACACAGACACTTACTGCAGACCAGACTTAATGCATGGGTCCACTTTCATTCCTCTTCTATTGCTGAGCTTCTTCATAGTTGCCCAAGGCATGCGTGCGCTGGTTGTGGAGTTCCAGTCTCAGAGGCACCGGTACACCGTGGAGCTCTCAAACGGTTCAAGAAAACTGATCCACGCCAAAAACCTCCAGAGCATCACTGAGACCATGACTGATCCTCCAGAAGCTCCGCATTTGGCATCGGGCATGTATTGCAGCATCAGTGGCTTGTCAGGGGCAACCCATTTGAATGGGCAGAAGTGCTTGGTGGTTTCAAGGAAAGATGGACGCTATGAGGTTCAGCTGTTGGACGGTAGCTTGAAGAGCATCAAACCAGTGAACTTGACTCCCCTTCCAAAGCCGCCTGTTGGCGAACGTGTGACAGTGAAAAATGCCATCGAAGGAGCCATGGTGCAGCGTGGCCTTGATTGGATTTGGAATGACCAGGATGGTGGAGACGGTTGTGTTGGTCGCATTCAAGCTATTGAAGGCGACTGGGCCTGTGTCCAGTGGAATAGTGGCCGCGCGAACAAGTACCGAATCGGTGCTGATGGCAGCTGCGACTTGATTTATGTGGATGAGTTCAAGCATGAAAATGCTTGCAGGAAGGCTCTTCAACGTGGGAAGTCCCACGTGGAACCACGCCACCTGAGCCGCACTTTCGCCTATCTCCATGGTACCAGATGTGCGAATGTAGATTTCTTTGATATACGAGATGAGGTTTGTCAGGCTGTTGGCGGGTGCAAACATGGCCAGCGAGTGCAAGTCAAGGGCATGCAGGCTGTTGCGATTGGAGTGGCCACCTTGCCTTCGCCTTTGCCTCATCTTGCGCAGAAGCTCGAGATGTTTTTCCATGTGGAAAGAGCGGAGGGTGCTGGTATTTTCGATGAGGCAGATGGCATCCAGATGCGAGTTGTGGGTCGGCAACGAGTCAGGGAGGCTAAGCGCCCCATTGGGACCAACAACCAGGAGTTGATGGAAGTTGCCAAGATGGTGAAGCCATCTTTCCAGTACATGTGGGGCCCGAATTCATATCTAGGAATGACACTGGAGCGCTTTGATGTCAGGGACGAGGTTTGCGTCAAAGTGGGTGGCTTCAAGCATGGGCAGCTGGTCAAGGTAGCAGACAAGGTTGCTGTGGTAATTGGGGTGCGCTTGATGCGTGGCATTCCCAAACTCTTTTTCCACCTTGACGGGAAGCCCGGTTCTGGCACCTTTGATGATTTGAGTACACAGCAAATTGTACTGGTGCCAGCCTCAGTTTGTGCCCCATGTATATATTATATATATATATATATGTAGGTATGATGTGCTCGCATGATTTTGTAGCGTTTTCTTGTTGCGGTGATGTCCTGCAGAGTGCAACTTGCCCGAGGTTGGAACGCGGAAGGTGGAGGAGACCGCAGATGACTTCCTGGAAGAGCCGGCGCTATCGCCTGAAGTCGAAGCACTAGCAGGCAAACTGGAGTGCACCTTCAGTTTCCCGCTTGGAAACCCGTTTTCGAAGCCTGCCCGCTTTGACATTCGGGACAACGTATGCAGAGCAGTGGGCGGCTTTTGCCACGGGCAGGTGGTTTCGGATGGTGATGGCGACAAGGCTGTTGTTGTGGGCGTCAAAAAAAGTGATGGACGCCCACGATTGTTCTTTCGAGCAGAAGGGAACCGGGGTGCAGGCCGTTTCAACCCATATCATTTGTACCGTAAGGAGTTGAGAGTGGTTGGGAAGCAAAAGCTGCAGGAGGTGTCCCCTTCTGATCCGATATTCCACAGGCCGGAGGAAGGAGCAAGGATGGAGAAGTTGCTCGAAGCCTTGCTGGCTGGTGCGAAAAGGTCGCAGCAAAGAACCCCCCATTCTCAGCCCAGTGGCTTACCAAGTGATTTCGAGTTTGACTACAGCTTCCACTACTTGCAGAAGAGTTGTGACCCAGCGTTCTTTGACATCAGAGATGAGGTTTGCATGGCAGTGGGAGGATACCGACACGGCGATGTGGTCCAACATGGTTTTGTTGATCGCAAATCAGTAGTGATTGGTGTCAGGCCAGATGATGAAGGAGTTCCACACCTTTGGATGCACAGAGATGGTGCTGCGGGTGCAAGTATTTTCAGAGAGATGGAGTTGCTTCGCATGACCTCAACGGTGGTGGGAAGGAAGACAGTGGCTGAGTTTGAAGAGCCTGAGCGAGACTTCAGTCCAGAGTTCATTGCAGGCTTGCAGTTTACCTTCAACTATCCAATGGGATTGCGCGGTCGATCACGACCTGGGCTCTTCGATATCCGGGACGAAGTGTGCCTTGCGGTTGGTGGCTTCAAACATGGCGATCGAATCAAGTGGGGTCGGACGGAGCTGGCGGTTGTCGGGGTGATGCTTGAGAAGGGCTTGCCGGAAATGCATTTTCAGATAGTGAAGCCCAAATCGAGGGTAGGCGCTGGAATGTTCAGAAATTTTCACTTGATGAAGCAGCATGTGAAACTTGTCGGCTCCCAGACTTTAGAGGAAGTTGTGCTGGATGATTCTGACCCGACTGGCATGTCGCCCACAAGATGTTCTTCAACTGATTCAAGTGAGCCAGAAATGGATTCGGAGAGCAGCTCAGAGAGTGAAAGCCAGAGGGCGCCGAGCAGGAAGATGTCAAGGCAGGCCTCAGAAGCATCAGAAGCTGCACACAATGGTGGCAAAGATGGATCTGCACGGGCACTTGTCCTTCGCTTGTCCCATTCCAACAGCCAAGTGAAAAATGTCTTGCTGACGTCAAAGGAGCTGGATGATTGCCGAGTCTTAATTGTGAAGAGTTTGACAAGTGCTATTCTTGGTTGTAATGGGTTGCGACTTGTTTTGCGCGTCAATTCTACAACTCTTATGTCTTATGTGCCCGATATCTTAGTTTTTCGGTAAGCAGCACACCGACCAAGGAAGAGACGTGGCCGAGGATGGCTGTGAGGTGACTCCAGAATGGGCAAATGGAGCCATTTTGCTTGTTCCCTTGACGCAGGAGCAGGCAAGACAAGCTCGCTTGGAGCTTCGTTCGCACCACGTGGTCATCTTCCCCGGAGACAAGGGTCGCTTGCTTAACGCTTTAGGAGCCCTTCCGTGCAGGCAGCGGCCCAGAATTCGTGGTGACGAAGAGAAGCTTGGCTCCAACTAAAATCTTAATTTCTTAGATCTCCCCAGCCTAATGTTCTACAAGAAGGTTGCAGAAGGTTGCAACATTGTCACAAAACTCTAGGGGTTCAAACGTGAGAGGTGCAGCCCTGCGCCCTGATGCAAGGTATGATCTTGCGGCCTCAGCGGCCCGTGAGGCTACTGAAGATGTCCAAGCACATATGGCAGAGGGCTTGGAGGAAGGTTTGGTCCTTCGCGTGGATCGCACATTCTGGACGTTTGTGGCCCCAGCGTCTGAGTTCTCAGTTAATGAGTCGGCGCCTTGCGGGGACGGCGAAAGTCGGCAGCCCCGCAACCCGCGCCAAGTTGCATGATCTGACAGCTAGCAGGACATGCCCTTTGCATTTTGTCAGATTTCTTGTTTTGGGCGCTTTTTTGAAGCTACCATTCTCATGTTCTTTGAGAAAGAATCGCCGCAAGAATGTGTCCAGATCCGGCCTTGTCCAAGAAGGTTTTGCTGAATTGTGGATGACAGCTTTTCGGGCATGTCGTGCTGCTCAGAGTTCTTGAGGCTTCAGTGACGCGTCTGACCAGTACGTTAAGGGCTGTGCTGTCGGATCTTATCCCACGGCCCAGCTCGTTGCGCCGTGTCTCGTGTCCTGCGTTTGTACAGTCATTCAGCCTCTTCTGCAGGAATCTGTGAGTTTTCAACTTACAGATTGCCAGTCATTAGAGGTTCTGGATCTGATCAATTTTGGGGCATGCAATTGAAGGTGCTTGTAGGATCTTATCCCACAGGTCTTTCATTTTGTGGCCGTCGGAATCACTTGTGAGATGAACAGTCATCCCACAAGCTGTAGCTCATAATTTTCTGCAGCATTCTCATTGCGAAGAAGAACAGATGCCTGCGCTCCCGGGTTCGGCTAGGACTTGCTTACATGGCTAAGGCTAAGACCTGCAATGAGCTCAAGATTGGAAGTGGGTCCGATCAGTTGGTCCGAGGAATCTGTCCCTGCTCTGCCCGAGGCGCAGGGTACAGGGTTCTCATATGTTCTCATCCAAAAAGCGGCAAAGATGGACATAGTCTTGAACCCATTCTGTCTTGCATTGTTCAACATTTTTCCCTTTCTTCCTAGCCTTCTACTTGCAGGCAAATAGGTCGATTCTTGCACACCGGTCCATTGGCAGTGCCTTTGTACTTTGATCAGTCTTTTAATTTCGAAGCTTGCGTTTGACAGACATCAACACAGGCGCATTGTGTGTCAGTGACTTGCAGGTTATCAGTCGTTTGATTGTGTTGGCTTTGGGGTTTGCTTTTTCTTTTTCCTTCTTCCCAGATATTCTAGAAGAGCCCTATCCCCAAGTCTAGCTATCTCAAGAACACTGCCGATGGGATGGGTCGTCGCTTCAACCGAGATTTGCTTCTTATTCTTGCTGTTGCGACGCTCGACACGACAAGAACTTCTGAAGCTTAGCTGTAGCTGGCAGGAACTCATGGATCGCTTTGAGTAGATGCACCCCATGCTCGCCTGGCAAGACCATGTAACATCAAAACAGCAAAAACCGTGACTGGAATCAGCAATTCTAACAATGAGGAGAACAGGTGCAACTTTCCAGGCAAATCCTCTTAGACAGTTGCCATATTCCTTGCCCTCGGAGAGTCTGGGTTAATCCCAAAAGAACATCCCAAGATCGCATGTCCTGCCACGTCCCGAGAGCTTTTAAAACACATCGTCTTTCTACATGTCTACTGTTCCCTTTTCGTCCCTTTCAAACGCGCGTCCTTCTCGGTCAGCGTGGTGCGGTCGCGCATCCGGACCGTGTTCCAACCGGGTTCCCGCGGTTCCATCGACCGGGTTCCGCGATGCAGGGCGGTGCGAGACGATGGCGTGCGCGGGTCACGAGGGTTGGATCTGGAGATTTATTCTTTTCGTGAAAGGATGATCAACGACCTTGTAAACCAACAGGTGTTTGGGCTACTATATATATATATATAGTACTATAGTAAGAAGCTTCTTTTCCCAGGGACAACTGGACTCTCCGGTGGCGCCTTTCTACCTGGCCTCTCCGCCACTCCGCCAGGTACACCACCTCCAGGCGCCGCGAGACGGGCAGCACCTCCAGCACCGTGGGCCGCCGCCGCACCGCTCCGGCGATCGCCTACGGCTACTCCGACCGACCGTCGTGCCTCGGAACGCAGGGGGACGGACAGCGCCGGTTCTTCCGGTGTTAAAGGCGGAAGCTGGGTGACAGTGCGGTGCGTGGGTTCCGGGTGGGTTTGTGTGTGAGGAGCAGGGTGAAGTGACTGGATTTCAAGGATTTGGAGAAAAGGAGGCCATGGATGTGGCAGGATATGGCAGGTGAGATCGACGGAAAAATAGCCGAATCGCTCATCGCGAGATTCTTCTTCCTTTTGAGTGTCACGTGCTTTGTTGATGTCTGTTAACCATGGGCGCCTAGAAAGCCTTGCTTTCTTGTGAAGTGCCGGGAGGGTTGAGGGCCGCTTGAGAAAGAGGCCCACAGCGGCGCCACAGCTCTAGGGTGATTGGCCCCTTTTTCCGCTGAAAACTATCGGCCCCTTCTTCCTTCTCAATGACCGGGTGGCCGATCGACGTTTTGGCCTCGCCGCTGCCTAACCCGGAGGACCCCCACTGGTCTCCCTACATGAGTGGACCCCGCCTGTGTGAGCAGCATTTCGTCTGCCGCTGCTGCCTTGTATCCTTACTTACTGATCTTACTGGTCTCCCTACTTCTCTGGTTGTTGTGAATTATATTATATATACATGATTCTTTGCATCAGGTGCTTCTGTCTTTTCAGTTAGTTAGTTGCTATCTGGGGTCTATGCCGTCTATGCCGGTGTAATTTCTTAATATGCTGACTGTTGGTCTCACAAAGACCTCGAGAGAAACAAAAACACGGCAACATGATGCAACACGTGCGTCCGGGATTGTTGTAGTGGGTGAGATGGAGTGTGTTAGTTCTGTGGCTGACGACGAGCAATTGCTGAGGGTGATGAGCAATTTCGGCGACAAGATGCCATCAAAGACAAGCTCCTTTGGACAAAGAAGCCATAGCAGCCACATCGGTGACTGGTTGTGTCAGGTCTGGTGCTTTTCTCCAGGTTTCTTCTGGGCGTTGATGAATGGATGTTCCAGCTTTTTTCATGGTCCAAATGTTGAATCATGTTGAACCCATGCAATAGTTGTTCACAGAGCAAGTTTTACACACAGGGTGCATGCACCTTTTTGCTTTACACAGTGCATGGTGTCACGGTTGTGTTCCTGGTCTTGAAATCACTCTCTTTGCCCATCAACCCACAGAACCCACATGACTGATGCTTGATGAAGCAGGTTGCTTCGACATCGTTCAACCATTTCCCAATTAGACTTTTTGAGACGACATAATTTCTGGCCTGCAACCGGCCCCGAACCCAGACTACGGATATTCAGGTTCCAATGCTTTCTCTTCTGGCAGCAAGACGAATGCCGCTATGTATGCAGCGGGTGGTGTTGCGGCTGGCGCAGTGATGGGTGCTGGTGCCTACTATGCATACAACGAAATGTAGCTCGGCAATTTGTTCAGGCTCAAAGAGTGGCATACTTACTTACTTACTTACTTACTTGGTAGATCTTGGGAGTCAGTGTTATTGGTGGTACCTACTTGCATGGGCAGCATCCAAAAAAGAAGACACTCCTGTGCACCTGTGCCTGGCTTCCATCGCCAGGTACAACAACGATATTGGCTTCCACCGCCGTCGAGTTGCCTCGCACTACAGAGACACACGATGCGGGCATTGCCACTAGGCATGCGCTTGCGCAACCTGGCATATAGCAAACAGGCTTGCCCTTCTCCGCTGAAATCTCTGTTGAAATGTTGCAAGTCCACTACGCGTCAAGAGTCGTCGGCTGAGGAAATTGAATTGGGCTTCTTTGGATGCTTTGTCGCTGTGCCACAGGCAGATTGAACCATTTTGTGCTCGAAGCTGCTGTCGTACAACAACCATGTTGCAGTGTCGTGCACACGGTTGACATGGGCTGCAAGTCATGCGCTCCGACAGCCTTGACATTGACGAGACAACGTCATTTGACTTCCCCAAGCCGATGTTTTACAAGGCTTCAACGTCTCTTCATTGCACAATTTCGGTTGCAGATGGCAGCCTTCGATGCCCTGCACTTGCGCAACCTGGCATATAGCAAACAGGCTTGTCCACTGCGCGTCAAGTGTCGTCGGGTGGGGAAATCAAAGTGGGCTTCTTTCTTTGGATGCTTTGTCGCTGTGCCACAGGCAGATTGAACCATTTTGTGCTCGAATCTGCTGTCATGCAACAACCATGTTGCAGTGTCGTGCACATGGTTGACATGGGCTGCAAGTCATTCACTCAGCCTTGACATTGACGAGACAAAGTCATTTGACTTCTCCATACCGATGTTATACAAGGCTTCAACGTCTCTTCATTGCGCAATTTGGGTTGCAGATGGCAGCCTTCGATGCCATGTGCCCGAGGTCAGATTCCTTGCTGTTTTAGAATGACAGACGCAGTGGAATGCTTGGAGACTTACAATGAACATTCTGCTACTATACTGCGGGCATTGTCACTAGGCATGCACTTGCAACAACGTGCGTTTTTAAGAACACACCTTTGAAGCATTGGGTGAAAGAAGCTTGGGAGTCAACGAATTTGATAGAGCTCCCCACACTACTCAGGTGTGAGCTTTAATTTCGGAAACGGCCAGAGTGGCTTTCAAAAGCCCCAAAATGGGGAACCAAAAGCCTTCGCTGCCCTTTTTGTCCGCTCGACGTGACCACTCCAAGCCCACCCAGGCTCCCAAGTTCAAGTTCAAGTCAGTTTAGCCGTGGCCAAGCGCCACCGCCTTCTGCTCGGCCGTGGCCTCAGCGTTCAACACAGGCTTTGAGCAACATCCAACCATCAGGGCAGCAGTTAGCCAACGATGATCGATTTCAATGGATGATGTTTGATAAGAGCTCTCCTAGAAAGCATATTCTGGCTTAGCTTAAAGAAACTCCGGGAACACAGTACAGGTGGAGGAGGCTGTGTGTGGAGTGCTGTCCATTGCCTTGAGTAAGTCAATTTCAGATTCTTTTATTCAAGCAGATTCGCAGAATGACCCATGAGAGAGCACAGAAATTGGCGATACCAGGAGTCATGCTTCTTGTTCTGCGCCATCCGTTGGCACTATGCCTGAAACTGTTAGTTCTATATCATGGATGCCTACTTCGATGCGATGTGAATCAACCTGAAAGATCCTGACAAGAAGCTCAGGTGTGAGCTTTGATTTCGGAAAGGGTGAGAGTGGCTCTTACAGGCCCAACATAAAATGGGAACCAAAAGCCTTCGCTGGCCTTTTTTCCCGC